AAACAAATCTGGTTTTACATCCTCCATTGCTTGCTTCTCATCCCGTATAATCTTCAGCATACTCAAAATGCGTTGCTTCTCATCTACCGGTTTAGTGATTGTACAACTTGGTTGTTGTGCACTACCATCATTAACCGACAATTGCGTTAGCGAATAATCATCCTCTGGCATATTTACAGGCACATTTAATTTCGGAAAGAAAGTTGTTGGCTTCTGAAACATTTTATGTTTTGCACTTTGTAAGCGGCGTGCTTTTGGTATACGGCCTGGTACCGGCATCCCAGCATTATGCAATTTTAAAAAGTACTTTTGCACGCGACTAGCAACTTGTTGTGGTGTGCGATTGCCCAGAGCTCTAGCAATTTTAGCGAAACGTTTCTGTTCAATTGGTTCGGCAGGATATTCAATTAAAAGCTGTTCCAAACGACGCTGCTCCTCACATGTCCACAACTACGAAGAATAATATAATTTAAAAAACATTTTTGTCATTTACTTTAAATTCCATGAAACAATAAATACTTGATTGAATGAGCGCGGTTTGCTTTCATCAAACATTCTGCCACGCACTGCAGGTGGTACACCTGTTTGTGGCTCCTCATTCTCAACTTTAATTTCGGGATTAAACAACCTATATTTGCCTTTGAGTTTCGGTATCTAAAGAAATTATTTTATTGATAAAATAAGTAATAAAATTTTTAAAAACAAATGAAAAAATATACTTCTGGTATTTTCACATCAGTGCATTTGACAATTGGTTCATTGTTTCGCAATTTTTCTAAGAGTTCATTTGGGTTATTCAAATAATAATGTTTTGCTGCCATTAACTCCTCTATGTCATTATGCACCCGCACTTGTGCTGCCTCAAGTGCAACAATGGTTTTTAATAAATTTGAATAATCTTCATTGCCGCGCAAAGCTATATGGTCACTCTCAAAATAGAACACATTATCTCCTTCCTCCTCACTACTCATTTTCACTTATTCCTGTTTTAATTATATATATTATATCCTTTTAACTATTTAATCCTAAATATTTGGTTTTCGCTGCTCAACATGCTGCAGCTTATGACATTTGAATGTAAACAACGCGTTGCCAAGCATTCAAATTTTGAGAAAATATTTAGGGTTACCAGGTTTTTCTGCAAAAACAATAGCTGCGTTTCAGCAAACATGATCCGCTCAATGATCTGAATCATCTTTGCTGAAACGATACGGATCACGTTTGAAAATAATTGGCAACGCATGAAATATGCCAGTTGGGTTTGTGTACAAAATTTTTTGATTTATGTGAATAATTTTGGCGCTAAAAAAATAAGTGAGAAAATTTTGAATACAAAAAATCTAAAACTTGGAAAATAAATAAAATCTGTTGAAATGTCTGAAGTATGAAATGTAAGTTTTTATTTAGTATTTACTTAAAAACTTAAATTTAATTCTATAGTAAATAAATGGAAATTGCAGATTTTATTAGAATTATCGAGCAAAACTGACTCCTCCATTTTCTTTTTAAACACTAGTCCAAGTGTATTAAGGTCAAGGGATGAAGTGCATCAGCATGCATATAGTGGAAATTTTATGGAAACGATCAATAATTGTTCCGTTAAAGATTATTTGATTGATATTTGCGCATAAAAAATACAATTGCTATATATTAATTATGATTCATATTTTAATAGATTTGTTAATAAAATCCAATTAGCAAATACAAAATAACCGTGGAGGTCACAATTGAACTAGAGCAATGAAGGAAATTTACATATTTTTGTGGTATATGGCAAATATGAATACTTTTTGCGAATTTGGTATTTGTTTTGGCATACCAAGAGCTTCTGTATGGAGGATAATTGAAAGAACTAGTGTTTAGCTTATATCAATTGGACACTAATTTATTAAATACGCACTTGTTAATAATGCAAAAGTGGAAACTTCAAAAAAAATCCCGTTCGTAATTGGTTGCATAGACAGTACACATGTAAAAATAAATGCACCACACCATAGCAAATAGGCTTATTTCAAAAGAAAGCATGACTATAGCTTAATCTTGCAGATAGTTTGCGATGAAAATGGTTTTTTTATAAACGTTTATGTTGGAGAGCCTGGATCCTTATGTATTGTTCTGTTTTAATTAAATAAATGTATTCAACTTAATTTCATTTCATTTCAAATTAATTGATTTTAATAAATTATCAAACAACACTTTTTCAATAATAATAAAACGTAAATAAATAAGGTAACAATTTTAATTATAGTAATAGTTAAAACATTATTTTAAACAAAGAAATAAATAATAACGACATATTAAATAAATAAGTACATAAAATAAATAATAAATAAATAAAATCAATAATAAATAAATATAAATGTAGATTTGTTTATAATTTTACTGCACCGTTGCATCGCATTGCCAACCTCATTTGCATTAAAATACGTTCCACTTTTATCTTTTACACACATTCCACATTGAACCAGAAAGTGAACCAGATCAATTGCTGGTTCACCCCATTGTTTTTGTTTTGCATGTAAAATTGAGCGGATCATGTTTGCTGAAACACAGCTAATATTTCAATTGACATATAAAGACATATAAATATATAACTGGTTATATTCAGACTTAACTCGGTAAACAGTTTATACGGAATTTAATATGTAAAATTTATTTATTTATATTACCATTATATTATATGTTCCTACACTTCATTTCTGCTTTGATTTTAAGGTCTAATTGTGCCTGTCATCACTATTACAATTTCTATAAAAAAACATGTTTAATAATTAATATTAAGACTATACTTTTGATACGCTGGATGATATTTTAAAATAAGTTGTTTTGTTTTAGTTATTTTAAAACCTTATGTGCTGACACTATCAAAACATAGCCGCCTCTCACATACACATCCGCTGTACAAAATTAAAGTGCAGAGCTGCTTTTTTTAGAAATCACAAATTAAATCTTAGCTGACAATTGTTTTCCAGTTGCTCTATATATTTACTTATGACTAGAATTTAATGTTAAGGGTACCATATGATATTTTTTACATGTTGACGTATGTAATTAATTAGGTTGAACTTTTATTTTGCATATATATTACACAGTATAACTCTACAATTATTAGTTCACCATATCCTTCATCGAAACATAGCTTAAGCATAGTATTAATATTCATGTGAAACAAAATATTGATACAAAATTCTATACAAAAAGGAATATTCCATAAAAATCCGGCATGTATATATTTTTGTATTCAGTTTTAGTTGAATTTTTTTGTCCGAAATGAATGAAGCATTAAGCTTTGTGCAAAATGGTTGTTCAGACAAGATGCGATCACAGACCAATACAAATCATTATACAGATTGGAGAGTCGCAGACACAAATACATACGTTCATTGTTGTTTTCTTTTAATTTATCATTTTAAATTCATTTAGTTTGTATTGCATAAAAATAAAATAATGTACTTTTACCATTATACCAAGAGAAAATTTATGTAATTGGAGTTGATTAAAAAAAATGTCGCAAATGATTGAAATCATTAGCACAAAAATATTACAAGACATTTCTAAGCCGCTGTAACATTTCTTTATACGAAACAACCCTGTTCACTGAATCTTTGACAATTCGTGACAGAAGGATGGAAGATACAAATATTTAATCATTTTGAATTCATATATATTAATGAAGCCGAAACTACTTTTAAAACTATTTCGATTACCGTTCTGAGACCTATAGTGCTATCGTTGACAAATTAAGACTATTGATGAGTCTAATAATGTCCAATAATTCACTTCAATTTACTTGATTATAATGAAAAACCAGATAAAAATTTTGTATCAGAGTCCTCATTATAGGAGAATATGTAAAACTTGGGTCACTTTTTACTTTCCAATTATTGTTTTACAAAATAGTTTTAATAACTATATTTACCTATTATGGGCTGACAATTATATATTTTAAACAAGTCTAATTCTTTATATTCAAAAATTAAATAAAAGGTGTTCCATGATAATACCCCAGTATTTTAGATGTTATCCTAATAATTCATAATTAATCAAGATAACAAAAACTTAATAAACAACCTTAAAGAGGTTTTTCGAAAAATAGTGAACTAATAAAAAATTCTATTTTATATTATATTATTTTAATTAATTAAATTTTTGACTGATCATACAGTTGTTTCGAGTATTGCTAAATAACCATTATCAGTGGTTTCGGAAATAATTCATTCTTATAAACATTCTTACTAATAATCTTATTAAAAACTTTATACATATTATAATGATTATTTTTTTTTTAAGTAAACATATGGGAATATATTTAAGAAAACATCAAATCCTTGCTTTTTCCTATTCCAGCAAAGATCTTTAGGTATTTTCTTAAAACATCTTAGATGATTACATTTAAATATAAAATTATATTTTACAGAGAAAGTTAATAATTAATTTTTGTATTTTATAATTTATATTATTTTCAAACAAATATTTAAAGGTTTCTACTCAAGTTTATTAAAAAGCATATATGAAACACTGGAAATCCTTGCAGTGTGGAACGAAAGGCGCCAAAAGTGGACACAGACTGCAATTTTTGTTAATTAATAATAATTCGCGGTTATTTTAATATTTATATATTTAAATAATACAAGTTATTATTATGTTTAATGTTATAAACAATTTTTAAATCAAATTATTTGTGAAATATATTTTGATGAAAAAATAAAAAAGTAACCAATTGATGTATATGAAATTTAGGTGGAGCTATAAAAGTTCATTGTTTTTGATCAATTAATCGGTATAATATAACAATCAGTGTAATAACATACTTAAAATTTAATTTACAATTGTAATTGCACAATTAAAAAATTATTTTTCATAACGTATATAAATCCCCAATTTAACAAAAAAAAATTTCTTCATAATATAGTTTTTGCAAAACAAAGTATTTTATATAGTTTCATTAAATATTATTTAATAATAGCAATAATAATTAAAGCATTTCTTTTACATATAAACAAAAACAAAAAAAAAGAAAATGAATATGTGCTGTGATTTATGTTTTACGCGCTTTTATTTTGCTTTTCAGCAATTTCAACTTTCGGTTCCGCCACTGGTGCTGATTCCGCCACTGATGTTGATTCCGCCACTGGTGTTGCTTCCGTTGGTGGTGTTAATTCAGCTATCGGTGTTGATGCTGCTGCAATTTTATTAGCAATTTCAGCTAATTTTTCACGACGATAGTCCTTTCGAGCTTCATCCAGCAGCACATTATGTAGTAAATTACGATTTGTCGATAAGTCTGGTAAAAGTGAAGGGTATGGATTTCCTCGAAGTTCCAGCACAGATCGTTTGTAATATATGCCAGGGTACTCGCGCGGTGCTTTATACATGCGTGTGTATGCCAAATTAGTACTTTCGAAACGTGGCGCTAACACTTTAAATAATTTATGCACTAACTGCTTTTCCAATAGCCAATAATTAGCCAATTCCATTGTCTCTTTATGCCTATCTCCATGTCTGATCGCATTTGATATTAACTTTAAAGGTAAGTACAATAATTTATATGTTTAATACTTTAAAATCAAAGTTCTTACCAATTCTGCATAACCACGTGCCTCATCGGCTCTGTTGTAGTTTAGTTCAATCCTTTCGTGTTTGACTAGCGCCGTAATAGTTTTACGGAGTTTCAATAGGCGACCCTCAGGTCCATTGGGATTCTTTAAACGACGATGAGTTGGACGTACAGCTATGCGTAGTTGCGATATTAATTTACTCACATCTGCTTGATTCATTTTCGATTATTATTTGTCGTGTTCAAAATTACTTTTTATTTATAAATTTCTAAATCTTATTTTTACGTAAACATTCCAGCCGCACGCGTTGAAAATAATGTAAAATCGGCAACAGCTGTTTTTTTGTGGAATGTGTGCCGCTGTGGAAACTGTTTGAGTGGAATTTATTTCTATGTACAGGGTTGCATTTGCATAACATTTTAAACCATTTTGTTTTAAGCAGGAATAATATGCTATATCATATGAATTATATTATTTTTGTAAATTGTTTGAATAATTTATATTATTTATATTTGTTTAAATTATACCTAATAGTATTTTATACATAATATTAGAATACTGTAAATGTTTGATATTTTCATAAAGTTGTTTTAGTTCATTTATTAATTAAACCATTTGTTTTTAATGTTCTTTACTCTAAAAAAAGCGTTATATTAATTTATTTCACTAAAATGATTAATTTTCTTGATAATATAAAATTCAATATATATATGCATAGTGGATATCGTGGTTTATTTTTCGATTTGGCTATTGATACACAACCTTCTATATTTATTGTACTAATAACATCAAATCTACCATATCGAATCTAGGATGTTAATAATAACTTTTATGAGGATTGAATGCATGCATATAGGCAGGGAGGATATGCTTATGATTCGGCTCCTTGAGATTCAACTTTCTTCGAATTTAATCGATGTGGTACACAAACACTATATCCATGATGCTCAACTTGGGTTTGTTAAAGCATATGCTCCCCTTGCAGAATGTCCCTCATGTCAACATTCTTTAGTCCCATTTTTGAAAGGTGGTAGTTAACAGGAACTTGTGTAACTAAAAAACCAGTTCGGTAAGAGCTGATGTTCAGTCAATAATATTTAGTCCGAGAAATTTATGTCTTTTTTTCCGTTGGTATAGACCCTTGACTCCGAAAACGCACACATGGGTAGGTAATATGTGAACATAAAATCCTTATTTTTGCTTTTACTTTTTTTTTTGGAATTAATTTGTTAAAGTACAGGATACAAAATTGTTCTAATGTAGGATATCTAAATAGTGAATAATAGGGTTGTTCATGATATTTTACAAATTCTAAAAATATTCCATCCCAAAGATTATTTTAATATTTCAGATGGAAACAATTTCTGAAAATGTTTTATCTTATGTTTTTTTTTTATTTTTAATTTAGTAAAATTTAACGTTATAAGCAGAGCTTCGATCCGGAATTTTTTCAGTTCCGGTTTTCGTTTCGGTTCAAGAGAAAAAAATATATCGGTTCGGTTCCGGTTTTCGTTCCGGCAAATATATCGGTTTTTTTCGGTTTTCGGTTCAGTTCCGGTTCGATTCCCTGGTTATAAGCTTTAGACTGCATAGTACTCTTTATGCTTTAATAATTCATCGTCTTTAACTTTTTGTATCAATTAGTGATTGCAGTTATGTGGGTACTTCATAGAGTTGGGGTACTAATTTAGATTTAGCAACGGTGATGATTAAGTTGGCATTAAATAAATTAAACCTAAGTCGTTTTGTCTGTATATCTACATTACTTTACCTCCAAGTTTGTACAAGCAATGTCTGAGCCTGGACTGTCTTCTGTTTTGATGGAGTGCCAAAAAACTTCGTAATAACTTAGATAATTTGTTGATGAATAAAAAGTAAACAACTAAAAATAATTATTATACCCAAATATTCTTTGAATTATGATAAGACACGTTTTTAATTATTAAAAGAAACCTAAAAACAACAAGACAATTTTTTAATGGATCATAAAAGCCGGATAGATACCAGTAACATTAATCAAATTGAAAATATTTAGCGTTTGTTTGCTGTGGGGAAGAAATACGCCAAAGCTTAGTAATTTAAAAAAAAAATAGGTTAATTTGATTAATTTTTTTAATGCCAAATATTTTGTTAATATTTTAAGTTTAATTTACAGTATGTGTTTGATGAAATTTAAATAATCTTCTTACAATTGCATTTGAGATGCTTTAGATATCTGCTTTTGTTTAGAGCAAGTAGTCATAGTTCTTAGGGATATTTTTGGGAATTGCAATGCGTACAAGCGAGACAGGGTGCTTTAGCTAATCAATCGGTTAATCTGAAGGGCTTAGCATATTGCTGGCTTCATGAAAATCATTATTGAAAGCTTTCTCTACTTCATTAAATAAATTAATTAATGCTTAATTAAAGATTAATGAAGTTTTCTCAATTAATGCAAATTGAGAAGATTCAATAAGTTGGCCGTGTTCTAAATCTAGCAATGTTTAGGATTTGTGGTAGGATTGTTGACGAGCCACAGTCGTATACGGAATCAACCTATAAAATTCAATCTACCTTTTAATCATTTCTGTGACAGTTGTAGGGAAGATGTTGAAAGTACCTTATATCTGTTTTGTTACTGTCTAGTGCATGTACAGCATTTTTTGTCTTCATTTTAATTTAATTTAATTTCAGAATTACGTTCATCTGCTAGCATTACTACTAGCAGTATGCGGGACTTTTGCAGATGTATCGCATTTAGATACTGATTTACGTGAAGATGGTTATCACTATAAGGAACTTTCAATACCATTTCCACCTCCCCCTACTGGAAATGATCTAGAAGATACAGATTTTTGGCCGAGACGACCAGGTCCACAGCCACAACCGCAACCGCAACCACAGCCACTTGCTATGGGCCACCTCAGCCACAACCAAGTCCACAACCTCAGCCACCAGCTCCATTCCCAAGTTATGGCCACCACCTGCGCAACCATCAAGACCACAACCAAGCCCTCCTGGTCCAAGGACACCATCTCCTCAACCTCCAGCACTTGGTCCTAGTTATGGTCCACCACAGCAACAACCTCAGCCACCATCTCCACAGCCACCAGTGCCAGGTCCTTGTTATGGTCCACCGCAGCCAAAACCACAGCCACCATCTCCATAAAGTCATACTTTTTTGAGAACCCTGGTTAAAGTGCCAAGACCTCCTTTTAAGGCGCATTTTATGCTTTACCTCATTTTCAAGTTGGTTTCTGAACCTACAAGTTCTTATACGGTAACACAATCGGTTATGAGGTCTAAGTGAATCCCTAAAATCGCCGATATTACCTAGCCTAACATAATCTAGAGCATATAGTGTATTGTAATGCAGGACTTCGAACGATCTCTAAATATTTTATTTACCATTATGTCTGAATTGTTTTAGTAATTTGCTTTAGTTTAGAGCATTGGGTTTTTGGTATTGCATTAAGCAGACGTGTTAACGTGCCTACTACCCTGTTTACTTCATATTATTCGATTTATATTTTAAATTGAGTACTTCTTGAAGTTTCAAGCTGCTTTAGGTAACAATATTCGTTGCTTTACCCCTAAGCAATTAAATTTACAAAAGTTGTTGAATAGTTAAACTTATTGAATGACTTACAGCAAACCTTCCAAAACATTATTTTTAAAGATAAATATAAAAAACAAAAAAAAAGGAAAAAGAGCGCGAAAAATGAAATTAAGTTCTCGTCCCTTCTCAGTTAGTAGAAGATGAAGCCTATCAAATGCTTGTTAACCGAAATTCGTTTGAAATTTACTTTAAAAGTTTCATACTTGAAAATTGCTTCTTAATTGGATAGATACTCATACACAAGTACAAAACTTTGAGGAAGCGCAACGAAATGCTAAGTGGTATCTTCTATCTTCGAAGGTGTGAAAACTCATCATAAAGATATTTGAGGAAGCTGCGTTCG